CCAATTTGGTGGCCGCATTTATCGTTGTTTCCCGATCATGCCCCCAAAGACTGCGCACCCCTCCTTCCGACAACATTAACATCGACAACTAGTCACACCCGCCTCCCAGACCATATTTCCACACACACCTTCGGACCTTTCCTGGTTCATTTGGGCTTCTTCGCCGTTCCCCCGGGACCCACGTCGGAGCCTTGGGCGGACTCGGGTCCCCCCGGCCAGCTGTGCTGAGACGCGAGCCCGGGCTCATCGCCGACCCACAAGGGTGACGGGGACAGTTCCGCCGAGGTCAAGCAGTTCGACGGTCGTCTTGTTTCTTTTCACGACTGGTGAACATGCTGAACATTCGAGCGGCACCAGTCCTCGATGGACCTGGCCAACTGCGGTGATATTCGTAAAGACTTGTTTGACTGTTTGTGCGTAAGATTGCGACAGTGAGTGGTTACTGACTTCGGACGAAAAACATATGCTCTACTTGCCGTCTGAAGTGGAAGTGGTGAATCCTCCGTGGCGGAAGCAGTTATTGTAAAAATCTGGATGTCTAAGGCGATCGAGCAGGGCTCTGGCAAAGGAGAGGGCGCAGGATGTCCTGATGAACTACTTTAGCAGTTTTGACGGAGCGATGAACACCGTAGTGATGTGACATAAGCCTTGGATACACGCTTTCTCTCTCTGAGGGGGTGATGTCGGCATAGAAAATAATAAAGATTGTCTTCCGGCGCGCGGGGCTAGCCGGTGCTCGGGGACGCGGGTGGGCAGAACGAGCCTGGACAACATCCAAATCAGTCTTCGCTTCTTGAATACCCTCAGTAGGGTGCTTTCATGTGCGCTTTGCTTAGGGTGGTGGCATCTAGCCATTTTGTCCCACATCTTTATTTTTATTTTTTGTTCAGTAGTGCGTGAAAGAGCGTATTTCAGCACGCGTTAATGGCGCCGACTGTGCTATGGCAACGTTTTGTTTTCGTCGATTTCTTTGTATTTTCCCCGTGAGCGCGTGCTGTCGGCATCGGGTACTACAAGGGCTGGCATCACCCTAAACAGAAGGACATTGAGGCACCCTAGTCCTAGTCCAGTGTACATAATCCTTAAAATACGCAGAGGACGGACGAATAGGGTTCAAATTCCGAACATCTCAAACGCAGCCAGTAAACTTTATAAAGTGTAGTATCTGGGCTTTAGACGTTTTGAGTTTGTACCTTCCTACGTCAGTCGCCTTAGGTTTTTAAACATCTGCAGCATAGACCCTTTCGCTTATCTACTCACTCTTTCTGCAAGCTTTTATGTCGCCGCCTGTGCACAGTAAAAATCAGGAAATTCTAGTTTTTCTGCAGATCACCTTGGAGAAGAAATCGCTGTAATTTACACAGGAAGCTCTACGAATAGCGTAACTAAAAATCTACTTAAAAAAAGATACTGTTGTGGCACTGAGCATGGTAAAACGTCATGGCCAGTGACCCAGCGCATACTGTTTCATAAGATCTAAAAAAATTTTTAAAGATTCGTCCATCGCCAAGCTTCTTAGAAAGATTGCAGTAATCGCCTCACCAAAGTGATTTGTGAAAAAGAGGGTTCTCCATAATGTGTAGAGTGAAGGGCTGTCATGTGCAGCCAGTACTAAGGCAATCTAGCGCATTTTGAAGACAATATAAATATGTGTGAGCTCCGGCCCTCGATTAAAAGAGTCCGAGACAGTCTGAAATGATCATCTGAGCATCTTTGGTATTCTTCGTTTATTTTAGCATGAGTCTACGACAGGTGTATTGAGTGAATATATCCATTAAAGTGGCCGTGAAACCATTTTGGGAGGGAATGTCTCGTATACCAGATTCACACGATCTTAAAGGTACATTTAGCCGAGGGACCTTTATATTGACAAGTGCTGATTGTTGGACAAGTTGGTATGGTACGTTAGAAAACATGATTGCGCTTTGAAGACGGGGACATAGGAAGGACAGACACCACAGAGCGCTAGCGCTCTGTGGTGTCTGTCCTTCCTATGTCTCCGTCTTCAAAGCGCAATCATGTTTTTTAACGGACCTTTATAGCCAGCGGCGAATCAGTTCGCGATCTTCCACGCGCAGCATGCGCTCGCGACTACAAAGAGACCTATGCTAAAGGTTCCTTATGATGGCGGTGTGAACGGGGTATTGCATTGCAAGAGCTTACTTCCACTAGTTTAACCCAAGAATGCCTGCACGTAAAAGTCACTAACAAAGAAACATTCATGTCGAGGTGTAATTATCACAAAAAAGTAACTATTTCCTTCAGTGTCTCCTTCGCACAATTGTATGGCATGGCCACGGAAATTGGAGTGTAGACGTGGTCACGAGTATTACACCTTGGTGTTCCCAGTTGAATTCGACTCGTGATTGGACTCCACGAGCACATGACTTTGGCTAGTGACAATGAAGACCTCGGCGAAGTTTCGTGTTGTTGATTGCGTCCAATTGTCCGGGATTGAAATAGCCGTAATTTAATGTGTCTGGACCTGAGCGGGGGAATCGTTTTGACAACCACAGCACGTGGCTGATATGAACATTGGCGGCCTACAATTGGCACCTGATCACGTGGCCTCTCGTTCTGACTTGGAGTGGAGGAGGCAACTCCAGCTTGTTTTTCTTCGTTTTTGTTTAGGAATGTCACAGCAGAGAAAGAAAATCTAGCGCCTGTTTTGCACGTCATAATTGATAAAAGTCAAGAATTATTTATAAGCCGCATCTGCTACGATTGAAAACAAAAAAAAAATACCTGGATTTTCCCTTGAAACTCGATATAATCAAGCTGAGTGTAGCTCTTCAAGAAGACGCAAAAATGGTTATACCATAATATGACACACGAAAAAGGTAGCAAACATTAAAGCTATAACGGTGATTTAGCCATCCGTCACACAGCGCTTAAATATGATTATAACAAAATGCATCCACAAGGGGAAAAAGCAAACTTTTTTGGATATTTCAGTCTACACCTACCCCAAACATATCCTACGATTGTAGAGTATATTACGTTATTAAGATCGACAAATAAAACATTATGTTTTCTGAAAAGACAAATGTACGTGGCAGTTGTCTGGACTAAACTACGTGGTAATCTACCCTAAGTTGGCGAAGGACTTGCAATTACTTTGATTCCGTATCAAAAATATTTATTCGATAGTTTCGAATCAACACGATACGGGACAACTTGGTTCACACTAAAACCGTGTTCACCGGCAATTGTTATGCAACCGAAAAATGATATCGGTTCAGTGGCGCTCAGTCGCATTTTGTGAGGCTGTCCAGTTCCATCAAATTTAGACCAGCTCATTCGAATTTCGTCAAAATATAACATCCTTCCCCCTTCTCGTCTTTTTTTTTTGTCATGATGGCCCTAAGAAAGTTCACACTCACCTTTTGTAGACCGTATTGCTCATACTTCCTTCATATCTTCTGTACACGACTGGCCGGAATAGGTTGGCTAGATCAACTGACAACTTAAGAAACTCTGGTCGTATTATATTCACGCGTCTTCTTTCGTGCTTCGGTGTTCTTATCAGTTAATGCCACGATTGCATTGACTGCGGGACGACAAAAGGACGCCCACAACTCGCCACGTCATGCGTTTCTTAAATTGTCTTTAACTAAATGTAGGCGATTGCTCAGTGTGTATGGTTAGGCAGGCAGAATTTAGTCAGCCTCAGTGGGCGTCTCGTGTCTTAGCTTGCAGATGAGAAGGTTAGCTAGTGCATCACCACAGCCGGGCTGGAGTGTTCAACATCTACCGCGCAGTAGTGATACAAGACAGCACACCGGTAGGATGCTCATCCAGTTCGAAACGGGCAGGGGTGGGATGGAACACATGATCACTGTGTTTCGCGGTGACATCTCTCACTACAAGCGTTCCGAGCAGCCGTTCATTAACGGGCTCAGCCACCCATCTCCTTGTGACTATTGTGAAATGGAGAACTTGAACCAGAAATCTCAACACCTTCAAGTCACTGCTGCGTGGACTTTAAAACGAGGAATCACCTTTTTAATAATGTTATGTCACTCCCTCGTCAGTAGCGCGTTTCCTATGTGTTTCTTCGGCATTTTGTTCAGATATTTATGCTTAATACAATGTATTGTTAAGTTGTTTTTTTATATCTGTATTGTCTTGAAGTGATCTTATCTCCTCTTAATAGATATTTGTAATCACTATAATGACTTACGCAGTTTATAATGGCCCATCGAGGTCTTTAGAGGTACTAATATAAGTTAAATAGGAAATGCTTTGAGAAAATGAATAAAACATTCGGATACGAATATATTATTACAACGAAAGCGTCAGAATATGAGTCGTGTTCTTTTTAAAACAGCACAAGGCTAACGTGCACTTTTGGGTCGCATTTCTAGAATTGCGAAACTTTCGGTTTGGATAGAAATCTAAAACTTTTTTTTTTTCGCTTAAGCTTTACCTAATTATGAACTGAACATATTTCAATGAAATCCTCTAGCTTCGACAAATCACACGCACTTGCCTCCCTCTGACTTCTATTTTCCCCAATCGCGGCCGTTCCTCTTTGATGCGATATGCTACTATCAAAATCATTAGATAACACAGAAACGTTGAGCTCAAAAGGTTGGATCAGTTGCCGATTTCGATAACTAATATAATCGACTATATACAGCACCAACCAGTTAGACTTATTCATGTGACTGAAAGGGATTATAAAGATCTCCAGGAAAAGATGAATGCAATGAGTTTTAAAAATCTTTCTGAAAAGGCTAACGCTTTCGGCAAGAGGAAATCACGTTGATTCCACCGTCAAGCACTTGGCATGTAATGAGTGTAGATTTAAAACTACTCAGAGAAAAAAGACTTTTCACTTTTATGTATGAATAGCTGGTGTGTCGTTTCGTGTCAGATTAAGTCCAGAAGTAAGACTCCGCAAGAGACACATTTTCACGCAGATGAAAATCGAACGTTCGGTACGTCTATTTGAGATGCCGACGCGCGGTACGCGAGCTCGAAATTCTTTCACTCACCTCATATCCATGCCAAAGAGTGACGTTGTGGGACGAAGCCAATATCGAGAACCGTCAAACTGTCCGGAGAAACTTCGCTCGTCGGCGGTCTTTGGGGTCCCCGTCTGCTCTTCACACCGGGCAGATACGCTCCGAACGCAGCGACAGATTTCGGGTCGGGATTCCGGCCTACGAACGAAAAAATAAACGCACGTTCTCCCCTTTCTTGTTTCTCTAAAAGCGCCGAGTCGAAATCTTCCTCGTAGCCTCGCAGCTCGTCGGGAAAGGCTCTTTGTAGCCAACGTGCGGCTCCCACTCGGCTCTTTATGAGAGCGCGCCATGTGACGTCACGATCCGATCCGACCAATACGAGAGCGACCGCGATTTCCTTCTTTGACTCCGATGTGAGAGAGAGAGAGAAAGGGAGCAAAGGTGGGAGGGTTCGGGAGAGTTGGGAATGAGGGCTCGACTCCATCGAGCAGTACTTTCGGACCTGGGACATCTCTGAAGTGTTGGGAAATTGGGAAAGAAAGAGAAAGGGAGAGGACGGGAAATTTTCGCTTCTTTTGCGGGAGGGATATGCACGTGCAGCCCCCTTTGCGTCGGCCGCGCGCGGCATTGGCATTAGTAAAAGTGGCTGGAGAATGTCTTGTGAGCTTCTAACGTCTGGTGGGGGCCGTGCGTAGCCCCATGGACCGCGGGGGGGGGGGGGGGGGGGATATATATTGGGGAAATATGCGGCATCGTTCAGGGCGCTTTGTCCATCTGGCGTTTGCAGTCGGGCATTTTAATCCTAAAGTGGTTTCCGGGAACTTCTTCGTAACCCTGCTAGGTTTACTCGCGCCGCTTCTTTAATCACTGTTTGAGTTTTTCTTGGCGTATTATGCGCCAGCGCCGCACTAGACATCTGGACTGGGGAATTACGCGAACCGCACGATCTGTAATTCCGGGCATAATCTGGTGTTGCATCGTCAATAAAGGCATTTCCGTTCTTTCAAAACACTGTCTGAAATAATTAGTTGCTCAATAAAATTAGACAAGAGTGCGTGTATTTTCCCAGTTCGTTCTTAAAAAAAGTGTGTCTATATAGCGGGTTGTCCTTGTTTAAAGAGTCAGTATTATCGAGACATGACGGTACTTCCAGATATCTACTCACATTTGCGGATGTGCCATTCTAAAACGTTCCTTATTGAACGCCTACGTGAATCATAAAATCGCGCCCTGCAAACAAAATATTAAAAAACGAATTTGGTACATGAAGAAGGAAACCTTGTAAATGAAATTGAAGTATATTTTTTGACAGTTGAAATTGGAAGAATTACGCCAAGGACGACCTTCGCAGACAACCACATCATTTATTCCTAAGGTTACTTGTATACTTTTATTCTTCATTTATACTTAGTGCCACGTCATTTGAGGTAATTGCGGTGAAATACGAATTGTCTGAAGAATAAGCGAACGAATAAACAAAACTACCATCGAATATTTGAGCAACTCAAGAAAGAAAGGAAAGCTTCGCTATGGCTGAAATAAAGTCATCTTAAAAAAGCCTACGCGCAGGTCCGAACAGGTTATTAGAAAAGCCAACCTTACGCGTAAATAGAGGATAAAGGGGGCTCATATGGCGCAATGTCTAAAAGATGGTATCGTCGGGTGCGTTACACGTCTGAAAAATCCATACATTTCGCGTTCGCAATGCCACAATAACCTTAACAAGATTATGCAACATTTCAAGCCACTCGATTGTAGGCCCGAAAAGCAGGGACTCGATCTCCCATAGTTGTCATTGAAGTCCAAGGAGAAATATTTCGATCATGCTTGTTCAAACTAAATTAACCAACCTCGGCCTGGAGAGGTCGCGCCTACTGAAACATTTTTAGGTAAGTATTCTAGATAACGAATCTGTACTCTGTAATAGGGCTAACAAGAAACTTAGTGGCGTTTGATTTTATATCTTAGGTGGAACATTTCGAAGTTTGTTTACCGTATCCTAATATTTTTAGGAAGCTAGTTCGAATTATGTTTTTGTGCTTATTTTAATTATAGGTGGATCTAAAGGAATTCGTTTTACTATAATTTCCGTCACCTCAGGAAACACAGGACAGAGCTTCTTTATGTCACACCTCTTGCGTCGTGATTCGCCTTTCGCTTATCGCATCGAATAATGCCTTAATCTCATTGGATGCGGAGTAAATAAAGCTACTCGCAACTCGTTACGCCTTACGTTTCCTAAGCTGTAGGTATCTACCGGGTGAAACAAGGAGACGGTAGGCTCTTTAAATCGACCGGAAAATTCGGTTTCTTAACCTATCGCGCTACGACTTTGTGCAGCGCTGCCCACAGATGGTGCATTTTTTTCGTAAAATTTGCAAAGAGCGGACTTACCTGAGGAAAAAGTAAAGAAAGAAAAAGGCTTAGCTCCTATGGAAACGCAGCGACGCCACCGGTCTGCAATCAACACGGCGCCGTTTTGCACGGTAGACAAGAGATGGCGCTACGAACGCCGCCAACGAACAAGCATACGGGCGCCGAGAGCCGGCCGAGGTATTCCTCAAAGGCTTTTTAGCAGACGATCTTTTCGACTCAAAAGCGGCGCGCGTTCCGCAGGCGGCGACAGTCGCAGAAACAAAAAAGACAGGCGCGGTAACAACAAGGAACTGCACTTCCTTGTCTGCTAATTACGCCGGCTCTCGGCGTCGTCTGCTCGTTCGTTGGCGGCAGTTGGCGTCGCGACCGCTTGCGCCATCTCTTGTCTCTCGTGCGAAACGGCGCCGTGTTGATTGCAGACCGGTGGCGTCGCTGCGTTTCCATAGGAGCTAAGACTTTTTCTTTCTTTACTTTTTCCTCAGGTAAGTCCGCTCTTTGCAAATTTTACGAAAAAAATGCACCATCTGTGGGCAACGCTGCACAAAGTCGTAGCGCGATAGGTTAAGAAACCGAATTTTCCGGTCGATTTAAAGAGCCTACCGTCTCCTTGTTTCACCCGGTATAGTGAACCTTTTATACATCACCTCGCGCCTGTCATACCTGAAAAAACGAGCTTCTTATTTTCTAATTTCTTAAATTCAGGTGGATCAAAGTTATATTATAATGTAACAGATTCTTCTGCGTACGAAGAAGAGCACTTAATTGTTATTAGGTTACAGCTCATCATTAACGGAAGTAAGTTTAACTTACAAGAAGCACTTTCCACATTGAAGAATTTTAGCCGACATGGTGCGAGCTATCTGCGCAACACCTGTATAAGACCAAAGTCTTAATAAAAACGCAATATCCAAGAATAGAAGCTGTGACCTGGCCTTTATATACTACAATTCCTACCGAAAAATCATGACGTGTTACATTTATCTTGGAAGGTAGCTTCGAATAAAAATCTTTTATAGAAAACCTTCGAACGATTTGCGAGAACAGCATTTACTTAACCTTTTTTTACCTACAGATGTGTCAGTATCGTAGATCAATCCAATTTGTTCACAGTAGCAACAGCGCGTTATAACCAAGGACAAAAGGAGTGAACGCTGAAAGACATGCATAGCGCGGACTAACACCTCACGTTGCTTCTGCTTCTTTGTAAGGAGCAAGACCACGGTATAAAAATACAAAAAAAGGAACCTCGCCATCTCCACTCGTCACAATGACTACTTCGTCAAGTATTATATTTCTTTAGCAGAGAAAGACGGCCAGGGCAGTGACACACTTGTTAATCGAGTCGCGCGATTTGAATCCTAAGTGTTGCACAGTGGCTGACGAATGAAAAGGGAAACCGCCTCGCTGGGGCAGAGCATTAGATTGCTTTCAAGCAGCTGGAGAAAAAAAACAACATGGATTATTTCATGGTTTGAATCATAAGTTAAATTATAGTAGTTTTACGACGATTACTTGAATCAAATAAAAAATAAACAAAAACTTCATTTTTTTTCGTGTTTCTATTTTTTACTGATTTTTATGCGCCTTTGATTGGTATGATAAAAAAATTGCTCCTTTGACTAAGTCGTGTCCTTGAGTTTGGTTTCTACTTTCCTCTTGGTTCATCAGATGTGTACCTTCCTATAGTAACATAACTAGAACCCCCTCCCCCCAAAAAAATCACGAAAACTATTAATTATTAAACTTGAGAAAGAAAACAATTTGTTCCTCAAGTTTAATCATCCCTACCAACCCGCTCGTTCGGCCTTATGAATTCACGGTTTTATCTCCATCAACTCAGAACATGTAATAAAACATATTTTTAAACTAACTAAAAGAACCAAGCTGTTTTGTTCTAGTATGAACGGGATTACAGCAAACATTTTTAATTAATTATTTTAGTTACATTGACTTAAATCAAACTAATCTGAATTAAAATAAAATAAAATCTAGGTTTAAATTTTAAACTTTATTTTTTCCACGCCGCTTTACTCAATTATACTCAAGGATATGCCTACAGCTGTCCAACGAGCTTACTAGAGGATTATGTTAATAGAATCAGTTTATAATTTATTTCATCATCGTCTCATCCTTAGCGGATTGTAAGGGAATACTTGCAATATGCGGAGAAAAGAAATTTTTCTTTCAATAGTTGCGAAGAAGCGAAATAAAAAAAATATTGTTAAGTTTTGTTACGTAAAAATATGATTAAATGAAATATAAGTGCTGTCGGGGACGTTCTTTTCTCTACAATAAAGTTAATACATTTGTTACCCAAACGTTTTGAGAATTTTAATATACGTACCACTTCATCCAGTAGGGATATCAACCTGCGCCGCTAGGTGCCTTTTAGTTTATATTTCAGCAGTTAGACCGCCAGTTCTCGTCTGAACAAGTGCTTGTGTTTCCAAAATTAGTTTTCTTAAGTTTTTTTTTTTTTTTTTTTTTTTTTTGTTAAGGTGCAAAAACGTTGCCCTACAATTGTTGCTCGCTTCATACAACTATAGCTGAAGCGGACACCCAGTTCTAAAATAAAATTTGGTGAGCAAAATTTAAGACAATCAATGACATTCGAGCGATTAAAAAGTTTCAAATGCCGGCGGAAAATAACAAGGCAGCGCGCATTCATTTTTTTTTTCTTGGGCGCTCGAGGAAAGAGACAAGACGAGCTTGTTTCCCCTATCCAGTCCTTCAACTAGAAGCTATACTGTGGCGGTTTGGGCCGAATGAGAGAAACCATGAGGCGCAAAATGTGAAAGAAAAAAGACTGATTGGTCAAATATTGCATCGCGTGTGCTCGCACCTCCCTTGTTGGTGTAACATAACTACTGTCTCGCACTTTGCCACTTTACTGACCTGGAACCTTGAGATGTATACTTCTTCCGTAAAAT